TGTAGAACAAGTGCAATAAAATATACCTCAACAGTCATTGAAAGCACACTAAATTAAAAATAAAAACTTATAAATATTACAGCAACGTTTGATGAAAATAGAATAACTATTATACAAGTGTATATATTTTAGTCAAATGTGCAACTAAATGGTGACCTTACGGCTAATTGTATTTCAAAACCCCATTTAACCTTGCAATGCAGAGAGCCCCAGGAGGATGTATTTCCCAAGTAGGTGGGTTAATCTCATGCTAATCTCATTACAGCAGGCATTAGGATGTCAAATATATATATATATATATATATATGTTATCAGATTGCCAGATATATTTCTATATTTACACATCACCCCCACATTGTTAAAAAAAAAACTACAATATTACCCAAAACTGGTCATTTCCATTCTTTGTTTCTTATATGTTCTTGAAATCTCATTTATGCTTGTCTCACATTATTTCCTAAATTATGTAGTCTGTATTTGCATATTAAAAGATGAATCACATGAGTCTAATGAAACGTCATTAAGTTGTTAATCTTTTTATGTTGAACTTTTTTAAACTTTATTTGCTAGCATAGATTTCTTTATACATTCTCTTTTTCTCCCTGTGTCCCTACATTTCAAACAGTTTCCACATTTGTAAAATCCCTGCTCACTGTTTAAGAAGTATTTATTTGGAGTGGCCCAGAGATGGCTTTTTATTAAATTGATTGGCTCCTCTAGATTATCTTGTTTTTTCTTGGGAGTATTTTATAACATCCTTTTTGGAATAATTTGCTGTAAGGTAGGTTGCCCCAAGTAATAGGAGGGCTGTTTTTCTGCAGCTTACATTCGGTCTGACATTTAATCTCCACCCTAGTTAAGTGAGACTTTTCAGGTATTCAAGGTTATCTGAGGGAGAAGTGTTACCATAAACAAGCAGGTTTCATGAGCTGGGGAGAGTGCAGACGCCGGAGGATCAGGAGCCATGGGTGAACTAAACCAGCTTGGAATGTATTTGAGTTGGCCATCCATAGTAGAATGTACATGGAATGCACAAGATGGCTACTAGCCAGAGCCAGAAGTAGAACTAAAAGACCTAAAGAGGATTGGAACACAGCCTAAACGTACCACAGACCAAAAAGAGGCATGGAACACACCGTTGCCAGAAATTGGACTTGACAATCGGATATATAAGGACACTGTTTACAGGGATTTTATATACACTGATGAAGCCTACAAAAAGGTGAAACCCGTATCTTATCAGGATACCCTGTGGATACTATTATTGTTTAATTTATTTTGCTTTATTTTTGTTTAATTATTATGGGTCGAAAAACATCGATCAACCACTTTCATGCTTTTATGCTGGAATAAACACCATTGAATTTATTGAGAGTGTGTTCAACTGTGTGGTATAAAAAAACAAACCCAGTTATAATGGTGGAGTGCTGTACATATAATAACTTACCCCCCAAGGACTGATATGAGACCTGAGGGGGAAATAGCAGATATAGTGTAGTATATCAAAATATCTTATTTGGAATAGCAGTACAGTTGGGTTCACTCACATATTTGGAGTCCGTGTGGGGTATGTCTTGCCAATCCTCCTCATCACAAGGAGACTCATCCGCCCACCATTTATCCACTACGTCCAAATTGTGAGGTGGGCAGGAGTCCTAATGGATCGGAGGAGGTACATCTGTTCAAAACGTTTAGAGTTCTTTAAGGGGACTTTCTCCTTGGCCTTAGCACCGGGTGGGGACCTGGAACTCTTCCAGTGGTGCCTGGAGGCCTGTATTGCACCGTGGGGCATCTGATCCCAGGGTGCCCCCTGCTCCTGGCGACCCTGCTTCTTGCACCTGTGGTATGACCCATGATAGGGCCTTCTCCACTGAGGCCAACACTGCAGCATTAATCATTGCCTGAAAGTCCTGTGTAGGAGGAGGAGTGTCGCCCATCATGCCTTCATCCGCCATGTAAAAGACAGCGACAGTCAGTGGATGTAAGGTAGCCAGAGACGCACACCAGGTGCCAGGCTCCTAGTACAACTGGGGCTCACCCAGGACTCGGCTAAGTGTATGTATATACAGCTGTCAATCAGAGTACAGTGCCCAATAAGAGGGGCTCACCCTCCGGGTGTATGAAAGTGGGGTTTCCCTTAAGTGAAATGGGAGACGTGGTAGTCTCTTAACGTTTGTGGGTTGGACGCCCAAATCTGCCACTTTATTGTGAATTCCAAGTTGCCACTCGTGACGTATACTGCTAAGAGGTTCACCCTAGTTGTACATCAAGGCTGGGACCTCCGTGGTCAGCAATATGCAGGTGTCTATAAACAGCTTAACAAATAGGGGGTAACCCTTTGTGCCAGTGATGGATTCACACCTGCAACAGTGGGCACCCACAAATGGCAACTGGTATAAGGCAGACAGGCACAGTACAAGGGCATAAAGCACAGAGTGCAGCCCTGAACTAGATACACCACAGTGGGTAATATAATATAATAAACAATTACAAGTCCCAGACAGTGTGACAGTGACTCCATAGATTAAAACGTTTTACATATACTTGTGTGAGTGACATTTTACACATACTTGTGTGACATTGACTCCATAGATTAAGACATTTTACATATTAATAGAAGCACTCCTAGAATTGACACAGTATGTTTCCCTCTAGCCAAAGGTACTTTATAGATGATACAGCAGGATTAGCAGGTCCTTTAGGCAGTATGTGACCATAAATAAAGCCAGAAGCAGTTGTCAGAAGGGTAAATGGAGGTACAGATCATGGTAATACCAATCTGGAAGGAGAAATTAAATGGCCAACGTGAATCTCGTGGCACCTGGGAGATCCTAGATGCCCACCGGGTGCGATGTTCGGAGAGGTCCGCAATTTCCTGGGTCTGCCGGCGAGAAAGAAAGCAGCACTGGGGCACCCTACTCCTCCCCACAGATAGCCCCAGAGAAAAAGGAAATCCAATAGGAGCGCGATCGTGACGCTCACCGGCCACGATGCGCAAGGAGCTAGGGAAGCAGGACAGGCCCTGGCTTCCAGGGGAAGAATAGTCATAAGTGTAGCAAGTCAAATAGAAAGTGCCAAAAAGTGATAATATAAAGTCTGATAGTAGTGATGTCGCGAACACAAATTTTCGGTTCGAGAATAGCGAACGCGAACTTCCGCAAATGTTCGCGAACCGGCGAACCGGGCGAACCACCAATTACTTCAATGGGCAGGCGAATTTTAAAACACACAGGGACTCTTTCTGGCCACAATAGGGATGGAAAAGTTGTTTTAAGGGGACTAACACCTGGACTGTGGCATGCTGGAGGGGGATCCATGGCAAAACTCCCTTGGAAAATTACACAGTTGATGCAGAGTCTGGTTTTAATCCATAAAGGGCAGAAATCACCTAACATTCCTAAATCACAATGAAAATGGATTGACATATGACATATTGACACCTTGACATATGGATTGACACCTGTCCTCAGAGCCCCTGATGCACATGGACACATAGCAGAATAGAGACTGTTCCCCCTACATAGGGTCACTTGGCAGATATGGATTGACACCTGTCCTCAGAGACCATGATACACACTGACACAGAGCAGAATAGAGACTGTTCCCCCTACATAGGGTCACTTGGCAGATATGGATTGACACCTGTCCTCAGGATCCCTGATACACACTGACACAGAGCAGAATAGGGACTGTTCCTCCTACATAGGGTCACTTGGCAGATATGGATTGACACCTGTCCTCAGAGACCATGATACACACTGACACAGAGCAGAATAGAGACTGTTCCCCCTACATAGGGTCACTTGGCAGATATGGATTGACACCTGTCCTCAGAGCCCCTGATACACACTGACACAGAGCAGAATAGAGACTGTTCTCCTACATAGGGTCACTTGGCAGATATGGATTGACACCTGTCCTCAGAGACCATGATACACACCGACACAGAGCAGAATAGAGACTGTTCCTCCTACATAGGGTCACTTGGCAGATATGGATTGACACCTGTAATCAGAGACCATGATACACACTGACACAGAGCAGAATAGAGACTGTTCCTCCTACATAGGGTCACTTGGCAGATATGGATTGACACCTGTCCTCAGAGACCATGATACACACTGACACAGAGCAGAATAGAGACTGTTCCCCCTACATAGGGTCACTTGGCAGATATGGCGTGGTCGTGGGAGGAGGAGGATGACTTTCACCTCTTCCCCTGTTAGATTCCCGTTGTGCTGTGACATCACCCTTATACGCTGTGTAAAGTATACTTTTTAATTTATTTTGCAAATGCTGCATCCTTTCCGACTTGTTGTAATTTGGTAACATTTCAGCCACTTTCTGTTTATACCGGGGGTCTAGTAGAGTGGACACCCAGTACAGGTCGGTCTCCTTCAGCCTTTTTATACGAGGGTCCCTCAACAGGCACGACAGCATGAAAGACCCCATTTGCACAAGGTTGGATGCTGAGCTACTCATTTCCCGTTCCTCCTCCTCAGTGATCTCAATGAAGGTATGTTCTTCCCCCCCAGCCACGTACAACACCACGGGTACCAGATAGGTGACAACGAGCACCCTGGGATGCCTGTTGTTGTTGTCTTCCTCCTCCTCCTCAAAGCCACATTCCTCCTCTGACTCCTCTTCCTCACAATCCTCTTCCAGCGTTGCCGCAGGTCCAGCAAGCGATGCTGATAAGGCTGGTTCTGGTGGTGATGGTGACCACAACTCTTCCTCTTCCTCTTCACGCTCATCTACGGCCTGATCCAGCACTCTTTGCAGGGCATGCTCCAGGAAGAAAACAAATGGTATGATGTCGCTGATGGTGCCTTCGTGCGACTGACTAGGTTTGTCACCTCCTCAAAAGGACGCATGAGCCTACAGGCATTGCGCATGAGCGTCCAGTAACGTGGCAAAAAAATTCCCAGCTCCCCAGAGGCTGTCCTAGCACCCCGGTCATACAAATATTCATTAACGGCTTTTTCTTGTTGGAGCAGGCGGTCGAACATTAGGAGTGTTGAATTCCAACGTGTCGGGCTGTCGCAAATCAAGCGCCTCACTGGCATGTTGTTTTGCCGCTGGATATCGGCAAAGTGAGCCATGGCCGTGTAGGAACGCCTGAAATGGCCACACACCTTCCTGGCCTGCTTCAGGACGTCCTGTAAGCCTATGTACTTATGCACAAAGCGTTGTACGATCAGATTACACACATGTGCCATGCACGGCACATGTGACAACTTGCCCAACTTCAATGCCGCTAACAAATTTGTTCCGTTGTCACAAACCACTTTGCCGATATCCAGTCGCTGCGGAGTCAGCCACTTTTCCACCTGTGCGTTCAGGGCGGACAGGAGTGCTTGTCCGGTGTGACTCTCTGCTTTCAAGCAAGTCAAACCCAAGACGGCGTGACACTGCCGTATCCGGGATGTGGAATAGTACCTGGGGAGCTGGGGGGGTGCCGTTGATGTGGAGCAAGATGCAGCAGCAGAAGAGGACTCAACCGAGGAGGTTAAGGAAGAGGATGGAGTAGGAGGAGTAGAGGAGGTGACAGCAGGCCTGCCTGCAAGTCGTGGCGGTGTCACCAACTCCTCTGCAGAGCCACGCATTCCATGCTTGGCAGCCATCAGCAGGTTTACCCAATGCCAGTGTAGGTGATATACCTGCCCTGACCATGCTTTGCAGACCAGGTATCAGTGGTCACATGGACCCTTGCCCCAACACTGTGTGCCAGACATGCCATTACTTCCTTTTGCACAATCGAGTACAGGTTGGGGATTGCCTTTTGTGAAAATAAATTTCGTCCGGCTACCTTCCACTGCGGTGTTCCAATAGCTACAAATGTTTTGAACGCCTCAGACTCCACCAGCTTGTATGGTAAAAGCTGGCGGGCTAATAGTACAGACAAGCCAGCTGTCAGACGCCGGGCAAGATGACTTTCTGACATTGGCTTCTTACTCTCAAACATGTCCTTGACAGACACCTGACTGTGGGCAGATGAGCAGGAACTGCTCAAGACGAGAGACGGAGTGGCGGATGTTTGAGAGGGGGCAAGGAGGACAGCAGTGGTTGACGTGGCTGAAGATGCTGGACCAGGAGGAGGATGGCGGCTTTGAGTTTGTGTGCTGCTTGTACTCATGTGTTGATCCCATAGGCGTTTGTGATGTGCGATCATGTGCCTACGCAAAGCAGTTGTACCTAGGTGGGTGTTGGACTTCCCACGACTCAGTTTCTTTTGGCACAGGTTGCAAATGGCATCGCTGTTGTCAGAGGCAGACACACAAAAAAAATGCCACACTGCTGAGCTCTGCAATGACAGCATTCTGGTGGTGGACACAGCATGCGTTGATTGGCGTGCTGTCGGGCTGACCCCGGGTGCCGATGCATGCTGTCTGACTGTGCCACTAGCTCCTTGCGACGACCTCCCCCTGCTTCCAACTCGTCTCCTCCTCCTCCTCCTCTGTCTCCCCATCTGAACTTTCGCCCTGTTCTTCTTCTTGCCGAGCGGGCACCCACGTGACATCCATGGATGCATCGTCATCATCAACCGCTTCACTTGTATCTGACAACTCAGCAAAGGAAGCAGCAGCGGGTACAACATCATCATCATCACACCGTACATGTGTAATGCTGCCTGACTGAGACATATCCCTGTTATCTACATCCTCTGTCAATAATGGTTGCGCATCACTCATTTCTTCAAACGGATGTGTAAATAACTCCTCTGACATACCAAGTGAAGCGGCTGTGGTGCTAGTGTTGGTGGTGGCGGCAGGCGGGTGAGTGGTATCTTGAGAGGTGCCCGAAGCTAAGCTGGAGGAGAATGTTGCGTCAAGGTCCGAGCGGAAGCTGTAGAAGATTGGGTGTCCTGTGTTAGCCAGTCAACTATGTCCTCAGAACTTTTCAAGTTCAGGGTACCTGGCCTCTGAAAACTGGGCATTATTCTAGGGCAAAAGGGAATCACAGCACCACGACCACGACGGCCCCTGCGGGGTGGCCTGCCTCTGCCTGTCATTTTTTTTTCGATTAGTGGTACTATGCGTGCAAGCTACTGTGACACCAGATATGAGTGGCACTGTGAACTGGCAGAGGTTGGCAGAGTACACGCTGTAGGGCTGACACACCCGCTTTGAGACAACTAACTGCTATTCAATCTATAACAGTGAAAAAAGTTTTTTGTTTTTAAATGCAAGCTATTGTGACACCAGTGAGTGAGTGGTGGCACTGGGCACCGTATCCACTGTGAGCCTGACACACCCGCTTTAAGGACACTGACTGCTATTCAATCTATAACAGTGAAAAAAGTTTTTTGTTTTTAAATGCAAGCTATTGTGACACCAGTGAGTGAGTGGTGGCACTGGGGCAAATGGGCACAGTATCCACTGTGAGCCTGACACAGAAGCTGGCAGCAGTGGCAGACAACTAACTGCAATTACATTACACAGAAAAAGAAAAAAAAAGCAGACTGATGTTCTAGCCCTAAAAAGGGCTTTTTGGGGTGCTGTCCTTACAGCAGAGATCAGATGAGTCCTTCAGGACTGTAGTGGACACTGTATACCCTAACCTAGCTATGCATTTCCCTATCTAATCAACAGCAGCTACACTTTCCCTCCTCTCACTAAGCATGCAGCTTGAGAATGAATGTAAAATGGATGCTGTCCAGTAGGTGGGAGGGTCTGCTAGGGAGGGTGTGCTGCTAATTGGCTGGAATGTGTCTGCTGACTGAGGTACAGGGTCAAAGTTTACTCAATGATGATGAATAGGGGGCGGATCGAACCGCGCATGTGTTCGCCATCCGCGGCGGACGCGAACACGCTATGTTCGCCAGGAACTGTTCACCAGCGAACCGTTCGGTGCATCACTATCTGATAGTAGTAGGGAGCAGTAGGATAGTAGGAATTAAGCAACAATCATAAGAAAAACTAAACTACAAGTAAAATACAAAGTAAAAATATCAGGAGGACAAAACAGTCTGACCTATGCTATAGCTGGAGCAGCAAAGAAACAGAAAGTAAAGGGCATGTCAGTGCCTTTTGTGGAATGTTACAATGTTTTCTGATTGGTTGTTCTGTGCTGCTGGACGTTTTCATTAAAGAGAGTAATGCAAATATTAAGCCTCCTGTCATGTGATAAAATTACAATGAGTTTCATCCATACTTCACTTGAAAAAACTTATGGTTGAAACAGGTTGTGATTATATAGAAGGACTTATGTTTATCTGTTTTTATTTTGTGTGGTATATTACAGTAAACATTGTTTTACCTCCAAAATGTGTTTTATTTTTTATGTTATTTTTATCCTGCATTTTATTTTATTAATCTAAAAGAACCCTTCACATCTACCTATGTATATCCTTGGTGGGGATCATACTACCCAAGCATATCATTGAGCAAAAAATGTGCTCTTGAAATTGTGAGTATGTATATATATATATATATATATATATATATATTTTTTTTATTTTTATTTTTTTTATTTTTTTAAGTACTATTGTTTAAAATAGTGAGCACTATATCTTGTTTTGTTCGTTTTATATGCCGTTTACATTGCGAACATCTAAAGGGGACAGCTCCAGATTTATCCTTGAGTGGGAATTATACCACTCAGAGCCCTATCTGATTGGAAGCTCTCTCCTTGTGAGTGTATTTTATCTTAATTTTACCAAAAGACATTGTATATACTGGATTACACTTTTGGTGGTTTCTTATGTGTCTTATCTCATTTGAGAAATCAACAACAGAATTCCTCATCTGCACTAAAGTTTTGTCTACTTGAACACTAAGGAGGATAACAGAATGACCTTTAAAAAAAACTATCTTCAAAAGGTTCTTATCTCCAAAAAATACTTTTTTTTTGTTGTTGCTGGAACTCTTAAATAGTGTTATATTTCAATATTTTTATATATAATATTATGTATCTGTATATGATTATCTAGTATTTTTTATTTAGCACAGTCTGGTTTTTTTTCTGTAGACTTTAGTGAATAACCATGACAGTCGTTAAGAATCTGAAAACATGTTTATTGTATTTGCAACCAAAAAACAACTACAATTACTGTTAACTTGTATTGTGGCTGTTGTATAGGTTAAATGTGAAAAATCTTTAAAAAATTAAGTAAAATTTTAATATGTATTTGAAGGTAAAACATACTTCAAAAATATAAAGCTAATAAAGTCTAGATCTGAGGTAGGAATTAGAGGACATTATGTAACTGACGCCCCCTGTGGACCTCCTGCTTGCTGGGTACAATTCAAACAGGCCAACAGTGCCTGAGCTCCAGTCCAAACCATTGAGGAGATAAAACACATCTAATGTTTTACAAGTATGTTTGATAAGTAACCTGGCCCAGATATCAGCAATGCATAATTTTTCACCATAAAACATTTTCCCTATATGGATAGTTCCTTTGACTTTATTTGGATCCCTTGGAGTGTGGTTTGGAAAAATTTTCATCCATTGCAACTGTGAACGGGTTGATCTGACTTTTATACAATGGAACTATGCACATGTTGAACCAACATTCGTACAGAGCCTCAATGTCCTCTACTGGTCTATTAGTCTACAGAAAAATTCAGTTTAGTTACCCTTACTATTCTAAGAGAATCCAACCCAGTTTTACTCAATGTTGACTCACTAGCAAGATGAATATAAATAAGTTGGCAAACAGCTTTCACTACTCCAGCTTTAAGAATCCGCAAGTGGAAATTGTAAATAGACCATAACTTGCACTGCAGATATGAAAGCAAATAATTAATTTACTTATTCTGGTGTTTTCTCCAGCTAGTAAATTGACGCTTTTAAGACTATAATAACAGCAGCTGGTGTGCATCTATCATAAACAGGATTTCAGATTTCAGATGAAGAATTTTTTTTTTATGAGTGAACTCAGGTTTGATATTGCACTTTCCAGGATTATATATCTGTGACAGAGAATGGGAGAGGTAATCAAGGCAAGGAGATGAGTTCTCTGATGTATGGCACAGATTTCAATTTGATATTGTCCCTATACACCTCAAGCTTTATTATTAATACTGAACTGCAATTATATAATAATAAAAATAGTTGAGATTTGTATGTGATATATGAACAAAATTAAATTATGTTTACTATCTAAACATTTGTGAAATTTTTGTAACTGCGTCTCCCAGGGTCAAGTATAGAAGCCCCACCTGATATATATAATTTATTTTGTAAATTAATCTGTTAACAGAAAGCTGTGATAGACTGCACCTAACAGAAGATGGTCAGCTGGATGGAGGATATAGA